TACAATCTGTGCATCATTTCACTCCAACCCGCAATGCGCTCACGCCGGTGTCTTCAAGACCTACGAACGTGTAAGGAAGCGGTACTACTGGCGTGGGATGTTTACTTTTGTTCGACAGTTTATTCGCGGCTGCCACGAATGTCAGCGACGAAAACAGCCACCGAATCTAGGAGAAGCTTCAATGCAGCCGCTTGTGTGCCGCAACCGCCCATTCGATCGCGTTGTAATTGACCTTTATGGGCCACTGCCATTTACCACAGCAGGTAACTGGTGGGCTATCGTTGCTGTAGATCACCTGACACGGTACGCCGAAACCGCTGCTCTTCTTACGGCAACCGCTCAGGACGTCGCATCTTTCATCCTCCATCGGTTTGTGTTGCGTCACGGCCCTCCTCGCGAGCTCCTCAGTGACCAGGGCCGTAAATTTCCATCCGACGTAATCCAAACACTTCTCCGTCAGTGCCATATTGTACACCGGATGAACACTGCTTACCACCCTCAGACGAATGGCCTGACTGAGTGGTTTAATCGGACCCTGGGTGACATGCTCGCGACGCATGTGGCATCTGACCAAACGAACTGGGACCTGGTTTTTCCGTTTGCGACCTACGCGTACTACCGCTACCCAAGTCACCACCGGCCTTTCCCCATTCTTCCTTCTATACGGACGTCAACCATCACACACAATTGACACTTTGCTGCCACACGCACCAGATACATCCCAGTGCACGACCATGTCTGAAGCCACCCGGCACGGCGAAGAATGCCACCAACTAGCGAAGCAGTTTACTACGGCTGAACAGCAACGCCAGAAAAAGGCCCCGATAACGACCACCCTCCTGCCACAAAGTTCGCCCTTGGAACAGTTGTATGGCTGTATGTGCCACCCTGTGCACCTGGTTTGTCCACCAAGCTACTTTCAAATTACCATGGTCCATACCGCGTGGTAGAGCGCACATCGCCCGTCAATTACGCCATCGAACCGCTTACGCCACTCGGTGACCATCGTCGGCGTGGACACGTGGACCGCTTGAAGCCGTACTTCGGCCTGCTCTTTCCCCCCTTTTAGATCGCCAGGATGGCTTCATCTTTCTCGACGGGGCAATTGTAATGAAGAAATGATGACAACACCAGAGAACAGCAAGCATCATCGCAGAGTAAGGAACCATGACATCGGCGCTCTAGCTCCGCCATCTTCCTCGCCCTGTCGCCATCTAGAATCTTGCACCTGCCCATTAGGTTCACCTAATAAACATCTTTACAATAATAATAATAATAATAATAATAATAATAATAATAATAATAATAATATGATCATAAGACGCTTTTTCACCACCTGTACATAACGGTCAACTCATAGTGTTCTTCATCTTCCTTGTTAGAGGGAATAGCTCTGGAGTCTTTTCTGTGCCTCGGATGTGACTGCTTTAGCAACGTATTCTACGCCTCATAAAGGTGTTTAAAGGACTACGTCACAAGTGGTATAGGCCGCTCCTAGGTTCCTCCTCCCTGCTTGCCCGCTTAACCTTGTGGAGCTTCGCGGAGGTCACTGTCCAGGCCACTTGTACACCAGCATGTCACAGGACGAACCAGCGGGCACTTTTAAATGCGAAGTATTTCTTAGCGAACTTCAGCAACTTTGAGCGTATTCATCTATTTATCTAGCCGCCTACCGCTTTTAGCTCTCCGGTCCGTTTCGATAATGGTATCGATGCCGAACTTGGTATGGCATAACATGACTGTATGAACAATATATCCGACTAGTCATAACATGAAAATCATGACATGTGTGTCGTTAATATCATGATTTACATATTGTGGTCCGGCAGCTCTTGCTGTGCTTTTGTTTACACAGCATGTTGCAAAACAGGTATGGTATGACATGATTGCATGGTTAACACAAGCGACAGGCCCTAACATAAAAATTGTGACATTCGTGTCATGTAACAACATGACTACATGCCATGCGATGCTCATGATGCGCTCGTGGCCGTTCCGCTAGCGTCACATATATCATACTTGGTATGACGGTACGTGAATGGATAGCGAAGGTATGTGATTGGTGCAAACATGATAATCATTAGATGCGTGTCGTGTAACAACCTGTCTACATGCCACGCTCAAGATGCTTAAGTGGCCGTTTCACTAGCTTCACTTATACCAAATTTGGAGTTACGGGAACTGAATGAGCGCTGATGATATGATACTGGTGCGAACATGATAAACATGAGATTCGTGTCATGTAACAACATGACTACATGCTATGCTCATGATGCGCTCGCGGCCGTTTCGCTAGCTTCACATATACAAACTCGGTATTATGCGATGCGAATGGACGACATAGGTAAATGACACATCCAAACATGATAATCACGAAATGCGCGTCATGTAACAACATGACTACATGCCACACTTATGATGCTCTCACGGCCGTTTTGCTAGCTTCATCAACATAATCATCATCAGCCAGACTACGTTCACTGCAGGACAAAGGCCTCTCATGTTCCGCCAGTCAACTCGGTCCTGTGCTTGCTTCTGCCAATTAATACCCGCAAACTGCTTAATCTCATGTGCCCACCTAACCTGCTCTCTCCCCCTAAGCCACTTGCCTTCTCTGCGAATCCAGTTAGTTACCCTTAATGACCAGTGGTTATCCTGTCTACGCACTACATGCCCGGCCTATGTCCATTTCCTGTTCTTGATTTCAACTTTGATATTCTTAACCCCCATTTGTTCCCTAATCCACTCTGCTCTCTTTTGTCTCTTAAGGTTACACCCACCATTTTTTTTCTTTCCATTGCTCGCTGCGTCGTCCTCAATTTAAGCTGAACCCTCTTTGTAAGTCTCCAGGTTTCTGCTCCGTAGCTAAGTACCGGCAATATACAGCTGTTATATACCTTCCTCTTGAGGGATAGTGGCAATCTACCTGTCATAATTTGAGAGTGCTTGCCAAATGTGCTCCAGCCCATTCTTATTCTTCTAGTTACTTCAGTCTCGTGCTTCGGCTCCGCGGTTATTACCTGCCCTAAGTAGACATACTCTTTTACAAGTTGAAGTGCACTATTACATATGTCAAAGCGCTGCTCTCTTCGGAGGTTGTTGTACATTACTTTTGTTTTTGCAGATTAATTTTAAGACCCACCTTTCTGCGCTCCTTGTCTAACTCCGTAATCATGAGTTGCCATTCGTCCCCTGAGTTACTCAGCAATGCAATGTCATCGACGAGAAGGGCACGAAACTACATGATTATTATCGCTCTCAGCTTGTCAGTTAACAAAGATTTATGAATCAATTTTTCAGTGACTGCAGAAAGTGGATATGTTTGTATCGAAAGTTGGTGGCAGTCGCGTTTATACACAGCTCCATTTGAAATAATTCATCTAGCATGTCCATATCCCGTGATATCATGCTTCAAAGTTTGATTGCATTTTTCAAGATTAAGTATGCAAGGCGGTGAAGACCAGTGCAATGTTACTCCCCGATGTTACGAACAGTCATACCTTGCCGGCCAGTAGTAAAAGGGTGACCGTTATCACCTTGCAGCTGCCATGCCGATGTCTTCAATCACGAGTTCCTAGGATGCCGCAACTGCTTGCGAATGCTTTGCTGATGCCTTCACTCATGAGTTCCTAGGATGCTGTTTTTGCGAGTGCTCCGTGAAAAGCTTTGGGAACGCACAAAAGTTTTCCAGATAAATTTTTCAAGTAAAACAATTAAGAGAGTTTTAATCAACTTCCACCCAATAAATCTCTAAAGGTGTCTTTATTATCGCAAATTAACGTATATTCCGAAGTTTAAATTTGTCCCCTGAGTAACTCAGGGGACAAATTGCAACTCATGATCACACAGTTAGACAAGCAGAGCAGAAAAGTAGATCTTAAAATTATTCTGCAGAAAACAAAAGTAATGTACAACAACCTCGGAAGAGAACAGCACTTCGATACAGGTAATAGTGCACTTGAAGTTGTAAAATACTATGTCTACTTAGGGCAGGTAATAACGCGGAGCCGAACCACGAGATTGAAGGAACTTGAAGAATAAAAATGGTTAGAGCACAATTGGCAAGCACTTTCAAATAATGACAGGTAGATTGCCACTACTCCTCAAGTGGAAGGTATATAACAGCTGCATCTTGGCTATATTTAGCTGCGGAGCAGAAACCTGGAGACTTACAAAGAGGGTTCCGCTTAAATTGAGGACGACGCAGCGAGCAATGGCAAGAAAAATGGTAGGTGTAACCTTAAGAGACAAGAAGAGAGCAGAGTGGATTAGGGAACAAACGGGGGTTACGGGTATCATGGTTGAAATAAGGGCTGATATGCACAAAACTTAAAAAAAGGTCATCTTCAAATTCTTCACTACATTTTTTTTTTTGTTTCGTCGGTTTAAATCTAGCTTTTCGTCGTCACCTTTTGTGAGACGTTATAAGCTTTACGTATGTGCATGATGTAGATAGTTACAAAGTACACAGTCATTTTGTTACGCCATTTGCCTGACACATCACTATGTGTTAAACATGAGGGGGTGTGTGCTTTATTTCAGCATGCGTGTTCCATGCGTCACTAATCCTTTTATTTGCCACGGCTACCGCAATACTGCAACCCAGCACAGCTCATTGTGGTTAAATTGTTGGATAGATGTGGTACCCGAGGTTGGGTTAGCACGTATAATCAAAGCCCCGTGTTTCCTATCGAATTTCTATTCGATTCAGTTAGAGCCTTCGTCAAAAAGAACAATTCCACAATGTACAGATTCGTAAGAACAATAAATGCAGCCTATATCATAGCAGACGTCTGCTTATAAAGGAACAATATTAGTATATCACAGCTGCTTTTTTTTTCCTTTGCTAAGCTATTCTACGTATAGGAGGTCGGCTCTGTGCAGATTGTTTTGCAAGGAATTGTGTGCATAAAATGAGTGAACTATTGTTGTTCCCATCATCTACCCTGCGCAAATTCAACGTCTGCGTGCTTCAAGTGCTATACAGAATATATGTGCTAACTGTGCGTTCTTCCAGAAAGAACATGAAAAAGATTTTTCCTACCATCCTACTTCTCGCTTATTGCAGTCTGCTTGAATGTATGTTCCCCATGATAAAAAAGACGTACGACATTGAAAAGGTACTTATGTAACATTTAATTTTTAATCTCTAATTCAGGCGCCACTAATATGCACTGCACCATATTAATTATCATTTCTTTAATAAATAAACATACCTAGAAACGTTTGCTGATCTTTCAAACTTGTGTGTGGCACAAAAAATACTCTGGCCTATTCAACCCAGTGCTAATTTGTATGGCGTTTGGAAATCACTGATGGTAAGGGCATTATAACGGCTGGAAATGTTTTTTCATTCGACTTCACGATGACTTTTAAGTAGATTTTGTTTCAAGCAAACTTACTTTGTTTATATACATATGCAGTGCTTCCTATGTCATTTTTTGCAGACGTAGAAAGCTGGCTCGATTGTGATATATTATTTTAAATAGATTAATATCACCTGCACAATCTAGCCTGACAGCTTTATAGCTCCCGGTGCATGCCAAAAAACAAAGTGTTCTTAGTGTGGTGCAATGTATATTTCCTGATAATGGGGAGAAGTGAAAAGAGTGAACAGGAAAGGTGGCGTTTTCTATGTAGGCACGAATGCAACATACAAGAAGTTTTGCGTGACCCACGCTATTTGTTCTCCATTCACCCTGGCCCAAGCTCCGGGCACATTCTTCATCCGCTCTGACAAGCACCTGCCCAAGCAATAGCATTCAATGTGGAACATTGCATTACACAAGACGCATATTGCATGTCACTGCTACAAATATTGCTTGGGTGATTTGCTCTTTGATTGCGTGTAAAATGTTTGGTTGGGATAGTACTTGATACACCAAGCATATGATCCTTGGTTTCAATAAGCTGGATAAAGCTGCGTGCTTGCGAGCACCGCCGCGGTGGTCTAGTGGCTAAGGTACTCGGCTGCTAACCAGCAGGTCGCGGGATCAAATCCCGGCTGCGGCGGCTGCATTTCCAATGGAACTGTAAATGTTGTAGGCCCGTATGCTCAGATTTGGGCACGCGTTAAAGAACCCCAGGTGGTCAAAATTTCCGTAGCCCTCCACTACGGCGTCTCTCGTAATCATATGGTGGTTTCGATACGTTAAAGCCCATATATATCAATGAATCAAAGGGTGCACGCAAATAGAAATGTTCGTTGCTCTCTTTGTCACTTCCCAATCTGCGTGCCCCGCCGCGTTGGTCTAGTGGCTAAGGTACTCGGCTGCTGACTCGCAGGTCGCGGGATGGAATCCCGGCTGCAGCGGCTGCATTTCCGATGGAGGCGGAAATGTTGTAGGCCCATGTGCTCAGAATTGGGTGCACGTTAAAGAACCCCAGGTGGTCTAAATTTCCGGAGCCCTCCACTACGGCGTCTCTCATAATCATATGGTGGTTTTGGGACGTTAAACCACACACATCAATCATCAAATCATCAAATTATTCCCATTCTGTGCACATGCAGGCCCTACAAGTGCAGCCGGCGAAATAATTCTCAGGTAAGCATCGCAGTAGTAATAAAGCCTTCTTACGTTTCTTGCAGTTTTTCTTGACAAAATCATTCATATGGACGTATAACACCTCCAGAGGAGCTGCCAGGACCTGCCAAGTGGACAGAGTCACGCATATAAACGATACTACAGTTACGTTCAAGCGCTACTTCTACAACGTTTTTCATAGGAAGTATGTTGCATTATTGCCGCATTTAGGAACCACTAACGTCATCTGTTTTTGCAGGACAATGATTCCATTGGAGGGAACATTGTATTTTGACAGAAAAGACCTATTGATTGTTCGTGCGCCAGGTAATGGGAAGTGTTTAATTAACTCCATCTAATAGCATGTGCAAGAGGACAATGCTAAGTACGTAAAAACTTGTGGATTCAGAAAACATTTACCGTAGATATAAAATGCATTCCCACTTCGTTAGGTTCAGACTTCTGTAAAACACATCCACTAGAAAATTATACTTTTAGAATTGCTTGTGAAAGATGCAATTGCTTGATTTTCTACCTCGAACAATATTCCACGATTTCAGGTTGTGCTAGTAGGCCGTATCATAACAGCCCAAGTTTACATAGTATTCACACTTTTAAATTGAAGCTTCACCTATTAAGAAATGATGTCTTGCATGAGGAATACATTAACTTGACTCAGACGTCCACGAAATACTCATGGAACTGCTCCATGTCACACGGCCATGTTGGCACCTTGTCATTGCGTGACCGTTAAACAAAATCGTTATGGTCATGTATTTCAGCGTTAGAACTTTTGTTGCAAAAATGAGGACGGAATCACTAATATAGCACTCTTTCATTTGTATGCATTTGATCACCAGTCACGTAGTTCATCGACTAACAATTATTCATTGAATTTCAACTGGTGTAATATTTGGTGTCTATTGATTTGATTCGGTCAAAAATTACAGGTTAACTGAAACGTCTAAAGTGATTCATAAAAAGTTTCAGTATGCACATTTCATATTTTAGCAATATTAGGTCGGTTGTTGTGTTTAAAGGGACTGTCTGCCGTCCTTCACTACTATTCTGTTTTGTGTCACAATAAAAAACATACCACCTTAAGTGTCTAATTTTGAAGTGGTTATCCGGAAAATGTGCAAAAATTTTTAAAACAGGATGTTTTCAATCTGTGTTAGGCCTCTTTGTATCGCTAGGATAAATGCCCTCGACACTTGTTAGTGGACGCGTTAGCAATCGTACTGCCGGTGAAAATCTAAAGCTAAAACCAACCTGTGGATCTGCCGGCCTAATGAAGTTTTCATTATTATAAAAGCAAGTAATAACAAGTGTAAAACCTAAAACTAAATTAAAAAGTAAATAAAATGTAAAGGTGCAGGTGCGATCAAATCTGTGTAGACGAAATTATTCAGCTTTCCTACATCAGGCGAAGCAAGGAAATATGCCTGAGCCAGCACTCGATGATGCTTTGTCATAAAAAAATGAATATTCCGTCACCACTTAGAGTGACGTGATATAAAATCCGTAAAGGGCATGTTTCGTTACAAGGCAACAGCCAGGAAAAATCTTTTACGTTTCCAAGTGAAACGACGTGACCGCGTCACTTTTATAGTTTACGTATTATTACGTTTTACTGAATAAGAATAAAAGAGTAGCTTCACCATACCCAGAGTAAGACGAAGAACAATCTTTTTTTTTTCACCTGGCATTACCATGACAACATTCTTGTAAGAAAATTACAGACATGTAACGCCGACGTAATTCCTTGCTGAGCAGACTCAAATAGGCTGTTGCAAATGTTTACCTGGAACGGCCCCCTGACTTAGTACTCTCATAGAGATCATTCCTTAACAATGCATCTAAAAGTGACATGTTCTGAATCTTCTTTATTAACTGTTCCATGAAACACCTGAGTGAAGAGAAATGAGCGGGATTAACACGAATATCTCTCGTGAGATATTCATTGTGTACCTAACTTCTGTGCACTCTTGCCATCACCGTCTCTATCACGTTCTCTTTAATGTTTAAATTGTTAGCCGTGCCAAGCATAAGGTATCTACGCATCAGTCGAAAACAAAGTGAGCTGCTGATGAACGCAGCTGAAGTTAAAAAAAATTGGCCCGAATTTGCATGTTACACTGCAAATTTCCTCGAAAGACGATAGTCTTGCGTCTGGAGAGAGTTAACAAAACGTTTATTTGATGTTCTACGCAAGAAAATCGGTGAATAGTATTCTGCAGGCACTGTGTTAAAGTGCCTCGAGTGTGTAGTGGAGGCAAACGAGCGCATCGAGGCACGTTAGACACGAGCGCCATCTGGCAGTTATCTTAGAAAACGAAGGAAGGCTTGCGCGCCTGCGGAGAAAGATGCGTGCTATTCTCGGAGGTGATAAGGTGAAGAACGCAGAGTAATGGACAGGTGCTACCACCATGTCATCGTAGCAAAGCGTTGGAAAAACTTACCTTTATGAGCATCGCGTTGCACTGTCAGCGCAGCGCGATAAACGCTACAGTCCTTGGAGTTACTTGTGTGTGCCTCTTCTAGTATAAAGGCAGACATGCGAAACATAGACTTGTTGTTATGGCCCCTTTGATATGCGCAATACTTGCTTTTTAATTAATAATCGCACAACTATGAACTCTAAACCTTGAGCAATATTCATGGGAGCTGCGGATGGAGTGGGCCATTTAAGGCCGTATCGTTAAGGGCAGACATGCAGACAAACGTATATATAGACAGACCAAAATATTTCCGTCGAAGGTCCCCAAAAAAAGACTATCGTCTTTAAAAGGAAACGAGCTGGTCATATCGGCCGCGTGGTGGTAGTTTGCGATAACACCTAACGTGCGAGGCCTGCTGTAGATTATTGGACAAGCCTGAGACAACGCTTTTTCGCACAGAGCATGATATAACCGCGATTGCGTGAAGGGAAGCACTAACTTTCGAGTGTTTGTTCACCTTATCCGACATCAAAATTGAAGTCTTACACAAAATTTGCCACTGGTATTGTGTACGAATTTCCGCTATTCTGCAGTAAGACGTTTGCTGGCCAGACGGAAAGGTGCGTCAGTAAGAGTGCGCGGGATTACTAGGTTTTGCTAGAAGGTGAAAATGGGGCACATTTGCTGACGCGCTGCAATTCTGAGAAGTGTGAGCCATGCCTGAATAAAATTCAGATTGTCGGCAGAAGCAATGACAAAAGGGCTCAGGAATTGTTGGAGCCATTCCACGCGACGTTCCTTATGTGTTAGTGATACGTCAGTGTCTCGGTCACAAGCAGTGATAAAGTGCTTAGACCACAGGTTGCGAATAGTCTGGTATACGCGCTTGATGTCTGCCTAGCTTGCAACGCGTGTCTGTACACGCCTCTCCGTTTTGATGCAAGACCTGATGAATCAACAGTTGAAACTTTGGGTTCCCCTCGTTATCTTGTCGCGCAAAATAGCAATGTTTTGGGGCTGGTACACCAAACGCAAATTACTTCGAGATTGCTGTTAGTTGTTCCTTAAGTGTATAAGAACCAACAGCACCCGTATTTCGTGAAGCGAAGGAACTTGAAGGGAGGAGGGAAGGTCAGTCACTCGGACAGCAGCTGTGAAATATCATTAAAAAGGCCTTGTTGGCCGATGTAAGTAGTTGGCTCCTACCCTTGTACGTGATGCTCTCTTGGCGCTCACTTCGTGTTAGAAGAGAGAACACGAAAAGCACTTCACTCCATAGAATAGTCATAATTTTATTTCAGTAGTTTATGCTGAAAGAGGTCGGGTCATTAAAAATCACCTGAAAGCCTTAGTTTTTATAACGCTGCATTATTTTTCTTTTTTATTCAGTGTTCGCACTTGCGGAGAAATTTTAGGAGAAAGAAACATAGACAAAGGTTTAGTGAAAGGCAGCGACGTTAACCGCAAGAATATTTTTGGTTCGCTATCCTGTACTGGGGAAGAGAAAATAAGATAGAAAAGTAAGAGGGAGAAAGAAAAGAAGATGGGTTTAAAAAAATAGAATAGCACACACACTCAAGCATTGGAGTGCCATAATCGTGTTGAGAGTCTGACCGCAGAAACTACAGCAGCACCTTTGTCACTTTCTTGACTATTCCGAAAACAAATTAATTGTTCCGAAAGCAGCCAGTTGTCGAGCCGTGTTAACATTGACGCAAGTTAGTGTCTTTATGAGCTATACTTAGGACAATCACACAGGAAGTGTGTAGTTGAAAGCTTTCATGTAATGGTGTTAGTTGCACTAACATCTCAAACATATAAATCATACTCCATGAAGTGCATGGGCAAACGAGCTAGTGGCACAACACTAATAATGTTTAACTCGGCGGACTTTTCATAACTGTTTCACAATACTGGCCTTCAGAGTCTGAATATTATGTCAAGTAATTAGAAGTTTTGGTTGTCAAATCATCATTATTATTTTCACGAAAATGCCTGGAAGGAGTCCTACATGTTTGAACAAGTAGGAATTCATTTCAGTGAGCGCATGTGCGATAAATATTATTTTTAAGCGCACAGCGAAAAGCTTCACACAGTGTTTGGCCGTTACATGATGTGAAAACCAACTGCTTACATCAAGTCTTTGCACTGTAAGCAGCAAATCGTTCATCATCATTGTATTGCTTTTCAGGTTACAAGTATAAGGAGGAACTTGTATTTTATGATGCCCACTTTAAATGCGCCGTGATTAAAATAACAACGCCTTATAGAGGTTTGTGCACACCTTCGCATTATCCGTTAGGAGCTCTATAGATTTTTTTGTTTCGCAGTACTCTTCAAATAACTCAGTTTCGGCATTTTTGACATATATAGTCATGAGCAATGGAACCTTGTTATAGTTCGAGACATTTCACTTTGTTATCGTTCAAGACATAACCACAAGCGGTAAGCGACAGCGTGAAACGTGGGCATGATGGTCATCGTACATTCATACAGAAGCCTACAAAATCTTAGGCAACATGACTACGATCAGTAAGACGTAATATTGCTGGTATTGCGTAACAAAATTATTTTTCATCTAGGAATTTTGAGGCGACGTTGTGTAGTGGTGCCTAAGAGAGCTTTGTGACGGTATATTTTCTTAGACGCCTCCGACACTAACAAGTAAACTTCGTGTTCTTATTTCCGGGGCGCAATAGCTATAGCACTAGTGAGTTTATCATAGCTGCGAATAATAGTTGGAGACGAGTCAATGCTCTCTTTATGCAGTGCGCTGTAAGCGTAACACTTGCATTCAATAAACACTTGTGCTTCTCGCGTTAGTAATTAATAGAACAACCTGATCAAATTCAAAAATGTGCTTATTTATATCTTTCCCTTAGATATAAATTAAAAATAATTTTCCGACAAGAATAGTTGGCCAGCAAAGTTGAATACTTTTGGAACATCCATAACAACATCGATAACAGGCCGTGAACTATTGCGGTCATCCATTACATTCAGTATTTTTCGCACCGTCTTTCCCAAAAAGTGGCGAAACCAGGTGTGAAAGTGGTCTTTGCCGCGCCTCGGAAGTTCTATACCCTATGCAAGCTAACAACAAAATACGTTGTTGGCAGATCAAAACCGGGAACTTGGTTGTACGTCGTGTTGCCAGTGTTGTGTACTGTATTCCTGTAACCTGTGGAAAGCAGTATGGCGGGCAGATTGAAGCTCAATAAGTGTGCGCTTGCGGCAGCAATTTTGTCGCGTAGGACTCGCAAGTCTTGGCATTTTAGTACACATGGAAAAGAATATGAACGTGCTTCACAGTATAATGATTGCGAACTTGTTTATAGTAGTTGTAATGAGCCGTCGAGAAAGATAGTGGTGGCGGCCAACATGGCTCGTCTGGGTAAAGCCAGTCTAAGCAGGCCTATCATTTGCCTTTTTCCTAAATATGCGAATTTTCTGTTTTAGCCCGCCACACTGTTTTCGTTAATTATTCACACGAAATTTTCTGATGGTTCATGATGCCCGAAAACTTACTATCCGTGTCGGCATCCTACGGCATCTGGGAAAACACTAGAAAGTTTAAAAAAATGATCACTGCCACCACACTTCTTCAGTATTTGTGGCATCATCACAATACTTCATAGCTTGGTCAAAGGTGGTTCGATCACGGAAGCAATGCGAAGTGAGCTGAGGAGCCTCTGATCTTGGAGGCAGTCCATTGCCGTGTCGGCTTCACAATGCTTTCGGATGGCGAAAGTGGGAATATTAATCCATAGACTGAGAAGAAAAAGAAAGTGTTTTTGCCTAAAACATTGCTGACTCGATATTGTATCCCGGCCATGACAGCTACAGTTTTATGGGGGTGAAATGCTAGACGAAAGTGTACTTTGATATATGTGCTCGGAACAACAGATCATGAACACTTCTGGAGCGTTTCACCTGGGTTCCCGTTGGTGGATACTTTGCACCCGATTCACTACTTTTCGACCCAACTTGACAACAAAAGTTTTCAGTTGGGGCATGGCTGGTTTCTGGCTACTTTTCGACTTCTTATTTTACCTAATCAAATTCGATTCGGCATAGAAGAGGCAAGGAGAGAAAAAAGAAGGAAAGCCACTTCGAATAAAAACACTCGTCTTGCAACTGCGTTTATTCCGAAAATCGCCTCATCAGGAAAACATATGCGCAAGCGCAGTCACACGAAATTGTCACTCCACAAAAAAAACTAATATCTGAGTAAACAACGCCTTTATAACACGGGTACGTTTAATCAGTTTAAAGGCCTAACTGCTTCGAAGAGAGCTTATTTCCTTCGAAATAAGATGCACTGAAGATTTCTTATGCACGCTTCTACAGCAATCTTATTCTGTAACGCCTCTTCAATCTCTCTAACATGCTTGCCCTTATCTCTCTTTCATGTCTACCCTTTGGTTTTACATATTTATCGATAGCAAGCAATCCTATATGAGGTGACATGGCCACTTTGGCTACATTTAGCTTGAGGTTTGGCGTCTTTTCCACTCCGCCCAATGGCAACTCTTCTCCACACTATGGCGTCACTAGAAACATATCGTGGGTATAGAACGTAAAACAACAACAGTTATCATTATTAGAGCTTTCTTTTAGTGCTATTTTTTAATAAGTGCTCATTTTGTCATTGTGCCTTTTTTCTGCAGTTGTGTTATAGCGCACATCTGGCTTCATGGGCATGCTTATAAGTGGAGTTTTTCATCAAGTTTACTTCTAAGCCAATGCTTAAGTGTGTGTGACATCACTTTGTTCTTCGCCTACTACGCCGTAAGCCATAATGCCTAATGAACGTGAAATTTGACTGTCTGCGTCTAGCGTCGGTGCCACTTCGCGTCCCGTGGCGTCTGGGACGAGCGCTGCGAAAATTCTTTATCACATGATGGCGTTAGTATACTACGTGATCAAGAGCACGCCTGCGCTTATTTAAAAACACACAGAAAGTACAGTAGTTTATTACAAGTAGCAAAGAGGAAACCAATGAGGGCGATTGCCTGCAAATTTTGCTAGGCAAGATCCGACGGCTACCTGCAACATCCTAATACTAATCACGATATAAGGTCACATAGTCGAGTGTTCACCACAGTTCCGTGGGCACCCGCACACATAACTGAAGCAAGACATGAAATTGAACGTAGATAGGAGCACGTCTATTGCTGGCTTTTCCGTTTCTTCGTGTTCTGTTTTTTATTTGAGACAAAGAATTGAGGCAATAGCAATTTTTCTTTCCCACAGCAGAGTGAATTGCTCAGGCTTCGTGCGCAGGTGTACACAATAGCATGCATGTGTGTAACTGAAGTTTTGTTGCCCTTTGAATTTCAGCCCCGTTAAAGTACAGCACTGAAAAGTTTCGAGGGTGTTAGGGCGACTTTCTGCTTCACCCCCCCCCCCCTCTCTTCTGGCTAAGCCCGATGGGGGGGGGGGGGGGGGAGAGCGGAAGAGGTTTTTCTCTATGTAGGAGGCTCAAATACCGAAATTCACTTGGTCATTTATGCTTTCGCTTAGGACGACTCGAAGAAGAAGCTATAGTGATCGTTTTTTCCCCTCAGTTGCTGTTTTGATGCTGCATCGCTACTTTTCCAAAGCTTCTTATGTCAATAAAGGTTTTGCATTGCCTCTGTGATCGAACCATGCTTGACTAAACCCCGATGAAATGTGATGACATGACCGTGTGACGTTACTTCACCTTATGTTTTCGTGGCGTCATAACGACGTCACAAATTAAGATGATGTGAGATGGTGTCATTACGTCATAAGGTAACGCAATTTCAGGAGACATTTATGCACCACTCGTCAATTATCTATTTTTTTCTCTCTCTCTTTGTAGCTGCATTCGCTTGTACAATAAGGTTGTTTTAATGATGTAAAAGATTTGTATTCAGGTTATTACCCCATATCCATCAAAATTTGATTGATGTAAGTCACCACTGTCTACGTTTGCCAACTAAATGCCTTTTTAACGTGTACTGCAGCGTTAGCCGTCCCTATATCGGTGGTGTTTATACATTGTTGATAGGTGGCAACATACTACAAGCGGTTTTTTTTTGTATCGCCTTGTTGACAGCAGATGAAGGTATCGCTCAGAACTTTTTGGAGGAAATGTTCTGAGAGCCCGAAAATAATTTTTTATTGCAAACATATTACCGTAGAGGAGCCCAGAGTTCAGGGAGGAGGACATTCTTTACATTTATTTCAGCAGTGGCATTGAAAGCAATCGTAAAGACGGGAAAAATATATGAACGTGTCAGTCACACCGACGAGGAGCAGGATGCTGAAAACTCATAAGGAGCGAGATACAGTTAACGTGCCCTCCAGCGTTATTTGTTTGTTTGATTTTCTGTTTGTTTGTTTGTGTGTGTGTGTGTTTGTTTGTTTACACAATCCTAAGCCAATGTGAGAGCATTTAAGGCACAATATTGATGAAGGGAAAACATGAGCGCAATTATATTCGATGCGTGTACCTCCACTCACTGTGAGGTTTTAATGTTTCAAGGAGCTGATCAAGCCTGCAGCATCCTATATAAGCGAAATGCGCACGTCGGTGGTATGAACACGACGGTATGATTGTATAACAGTTATTCAAGTGCTACAGACTGGGTTGTTGAATGGTTGCGTTCTGTTGAAGTAACCACTCGTGCCTGCCTGCACAAATAATGATGACAGTGAGTCATCTTTAGAAAATATCGTCAAGTTATGAGTGCGGTCCCGGGCAGCATGGTGGCGTTACTCGTTGTCGCTTATTAACGGCAAGTCTGCTACGCAGGCTCGGTACGTACCTTGCAGTGCCACTGATTTTATAAGTCAGGCATAGTTCACACAGTTTTCACGCAAAAGCAGAAAAAGTGTCTATCGCACAAAAGCCGTCATCGCGGAACCGAAATATAGCGTATCGCAGAGTGGCTTGAAAATAGATGGAGAGATATTTCGAACTTCTCACGATGTGGGTGAATATTTTGGTCTAATATACGCTTCATTGCAGCTACAGCTAATGTCGAGAGTTACGCTGAAAGCGGCATGGAGTTCGCCTCCGCACCTATTGTATGTCCGCATTCCAGTAGATAGTTTTACACTACTCCAGCCGTCATCTTGAATGACAAAATAATATCACAATTACCAATAATCTAATGTATTGGGATTACTACGCTGCTGTGTATTTTACATTCAATACAATTGTCTGTCACAAAGTCTATGTTAGTATCATTGATCTGCGCATTTGTCTTTTATAGGTGGGGTTGTGACGCATGACTTGCGCGTTTGGAACGCTTACATGAAGTTTGGCCCGGCGTCTGACTGTGTGAAAAAATTCAGCAAGAGAGAGCCCCATGGGCGGGTCGTTTATTCACGCAAGTGTCGTGGCATTGTGGACGGCCTCGAGCCATTACAACTTCCACAAATGCAGCCGCAAAAACTAGAATAGTAACACGAGTCGTTCATACGTGCCACTGCAACGGCATATTTGTCTATGAATGTATATACATTGATTAGCTTGTCGATGTGCCCTAGAGTAATAAATAAAAAAACATGTATGATTGAGCGTTCTTCCGTACCTTCACAATAATTATTGCATCAAAGTTGGGCATATATCTTAAACAATCGTCTTAACACCCTCTTTAAGTTGAGAATATATGACATGAGCGGAAACTCTCCAGAATTTCAGCACCTAATAGCGACGTGAAGCAACTACATCTACGGTAATCACTGGCTCTTGTGAAATGATACCAGCCTTTACTTATATTCAAAACTTTTCCCAGTAAAACACATGTAATATATGTAGTCAGGCTGTTATTGCTCAGTATTCGAGTGCCTCTTTAAGAGAATTCACTCAGGCAACAGAGGCGAATGTCGTCCACTATTCGGTCTCCCTCTTCAAAAAGCCTGGCTCCTCTTCTTCCTCATCTCTTCCTCTTCATATTGCTCCCTTGACGTTTTAGACTCACAAAGCTTCATTCTGCTAGACCTCATTGTGAACACCAGCTCGTGTTATATTAAAAGAGACAACAAAGATAAATTTTATGTCAATGCTGACGGCTGAAATTGTGGTGCATAAACCTCGTAGTGGTTGTTTTTACATAAAATCCCGTTTTAAAGGTCCGGATTGCGTTAGTGCACTTAAAGTCAGCCGCCTGTAATCAGTTTTTATCGGGTCACTGTTGCCTTGCCCAACGTTACCCGTCTTTGCTGTGCGGCCACCGGCACTTGTAGCAGCAGAGTTAAAGTACCGGCAGCCCCAGCTGTAACTATGGCAATTGAACCATTTTCGGCTTGCTTGGTTCGACTTGGCCCCCCTACATGGCGCCACCTATGCAGCCTAACCAGGCGAAAACAGAACTTTTGGACGACTCGTGCTATTCTCCATACTAACTTGAGGCGTTTTTTTTTTTTGCATAAAATAAACAAAAACCAACAAGCAGCGTTTTATTATGTCTCTCAGTGCACGAAAAGTTGTTTTTTTTTTCATTGCGCTGGCTTTATCATTACTGCATGATTGTAGTAGGACGCTCGCACGTCATCGGGATGAATTCCAAAATGCAAACTCATAGCAAATGTCATATGATACATTTAGCTTAATTTCTCGATAAGTAGTGCGTTGCTGTTGATACTATTGCTCTTTTAGACATTGTCATACATTGAGCTTTCAGCCTGTCATAAATTGTTATTTGCCTTTAGCGTCCCTTTAAAGATAAGAACTATGAGTGCGCAGTCTTTCTGCCGGGATGCCCCCAGGTACAGGATGGTTTTCAGCATGCCATGGTGCGAAGCCGTGTTCATTACTTGCAAGGATGCACTAAACCTAAAAATAAAAAGCTTTGAGTTTACCATATAGAAAGCTTCGAGTTAGCTTCGAGTTTAAGCTTATCTAAAAATAAAAAGCTTCCAGTTTAATCATACCAAGGCAATTCGGCAGTGTTCGTACTGCGCACATACGCACCCACCGTACGGCTGGTATCCATAAGCATGAACATATGATTAATAGTGCATATCAGCGCAAATAACACAGGCGGACACAATAGAAGACCCAGAGCACCAAAATTCGAACAATTCAGCACCTTGGAAAGCCTTCGATTTTTACACAGTGATATCCTGTTGCGACAGCAATTCGCTGGACATAACGATATTACAAGAAGTCATCACACGGAAAAGCATAGGCCCAGCTTTTTTATATTAGTGAGCGTGACAGAGGATGTACTTACGCAATGAACCTTAAAATAAATAATATTCTCTACGTCGATGATATCGCACGTAGTAGAATTTCCGCGTATTGGGACAATACTACAATCGGAAAAGTTTGTCCAACACCCACAACTTGGGGTCAAAATAAAGGTGGTTTTTGGCTTATTGTTGTTTTATTGTTGGCATAAGCCAGAAACCACCTTTCTTTTGACCCCATCAACAATATACATATAATCCCTGCATGAGAATGGCTCTTCAATCCCAAATATTTAATCCGCATTTTTCACTGCATGTGAAAACAAAAAAAGAACAAGCTAGATTGTTGTAGTTTCCACTAAAGTTCCAATGCTTACGGGCCGCTAAATAGGCTTCGCTTTTGCTGCTTTGATAACTTTTAAAAATTTTATTTCTTTCGGCATTGTTTTCTTCATTCATTCTGTGTTTTTTTTGTGTTGATTTGCGTTTCTCTCTACACATATTTCGTTATCTCTTCTGTTTTCGTTTTGTTTCTCTCTGCAGTTATTTTTTCAATTTCTTTGTGGTCATCCTTCCTACCCTACTCCTTTCTCTCCTCCTCATCATTTTACCTCTACTACTCAGGCTCACTTCATTTACTTTCCACCGGGCTAACTACACTATACAGTACTTGTTCTATGCCCTGTTAGCGAGCTCGGAAAGCCGGGTAGCGAAGGCGTTCGGCATTCCAGGAGTGCGGGTTCCGGGTTAGGGTACCCGATTTCGTATACCGTCTCATCAAGAGTTCCTTACCGGTAAGAATTTGTCTTGCTTTTTCTTTACATCTTTCTTTCTGTCACTATTGTTCTTTCTTTCTTTTTGTTCTCGTTCTCTGACAAATAAGGGTTATTACAAGCCATGCCGGAAAAACCGTCACATATCTGATGATAGCAAAGCAGAAGACGACGAAGAGAGCGTGTGCCAATTCATGCTGAACCTTTAGGGCCATGTAATTTTACGCCGCACCAAAACGGCTTCTGTGTTCATAATGCACTAAGAAATCACTGCCCCGACAGATGCCGGAGAATGTCTTCGTATGAATATATTATCCTAAACAATGGGCGAAAACAATGTGAGCACGCTGAGCATTTTTTAAATCACAGTCGCGAATTGTATTTGGTGTTAAGTATTTTTTTTTCGTCTTGTTTTTTTTACAAATGGCATATTGTTATCGTTGAAATGCCTGCTCCAGCTTCAGTGCGACTATGTGTACAAAAAATACCGTTGATTCAGCAGCATGAGAGGGAAGGAGTTTTGTGCAGTGCTTCTGGTTGCTGTCTATATTGCAGTGCTCGAATGTAAGCTGCCCATTTTCGGAGCCAGAAAATACAACATGGCAAAGGTAACGTATTCCGTTTGTCAAATCTCGTGCATCCTTGTTATATCCCTTGTATACAAAGAGAAATACAGAAATAGACAGAGGGTGCCCCGTAACTTCAGCCAGAGTTTAAAAATATCCCGGCACACGCAATTGAGACGCGACCAGATGCACGTTGCTCAGCGTTGCTTGGAGTTAGACTATTTCTTGTGTTGTCAAATATTGTTTAATTAGATACATTTAATTACCGAACTCTTGCAAATTATTATTTAAAAAGATCTTTTGGTTACCTAAATCTTTCAATTAGGAAGTTTTAGATTGGTTTGCAAAACGTCCGAATAGATATATTTGAACCTTATATCAGTTGAGTAATAGTGTTTTTCTGTTAATTACAAATGTCCACCAAATCCAAAAAAAATACCACGCGACAAACACGCTTGCGCGTCAGTGTGCACGATGATTCTAGTGATCCTTAAAGTTCCGAAGAATAAGTGCACTAGCACATGCACGGCACAAGTAAGGTTTCCACAATACGCCTTGACGATGATGCTGAACAAGAAGCTCTTAGCACATTTAAGGTACCCGATGACGATGACGAGAATGGAACATTCTGCCACAGATGAAAACGAACGTAAGGCGTGAAAAACACGTTAGCATATGCACAGCACATGCAAGGTGCCCACAATATGCCATGACGATGACGCTGACGACGATAACGAAGAAGTTTATAGCACATTTAAGGTACCCAATGACGATGACGACAATCGAACATTCTCCTTCTGCTATGGATGAAAACGAACGTAAAGCGTAGGAAACGTGTTACCATATGCACAGTACATGTAGGGTACCCCCAATAGGCCATGACGATGGCACCGGTAACAGTGAAAAAGATGATTATAGCACATTTAAAGTACCCGATGACGACGACGAAAATTGAAGATTCTGTCATGGATGAAAACAAACGTAAGGCAGGGAAAACGCGTTAGCATATGTGCAGCACATGCAACTTGCCCACAATACGCCATGACGATGACGCTGGTGACGATAACGAAGAAGCTCATAGCACTTTTAAGGTACCCGATAACAGCGACGAACGTGAAACATTCTCTTTCTGCCGTGAACCAAAACACACTTCTTGTGGTGGAAGCAGCAGAAAAGCAAGAAAAACGCCAGGCATACTTAGAGTTTAGAGACTTGTACTTTTCGGAGACTTCAACGTCACATCGTGGACAACGACCCTCTTGTATACTCCACGACGTTTCGGTATGCCCTACGATGCACTTAGTGAAGACAACCTACAAACCTTATGGGACCGTGTATAAGCTTCGTCTTTGCCAACTTCAGGTGAGATTCAACAGACAAACCACTGACTGTATATTTCACTCACTACAAAGCAGCACTAATGAAAGCAAACAAAAATTGACAACCCAACACAACATAGCTGTAATGACCAGTAACAATTAACGTACACGGCTTCGTCAAACATTAATATGCGGTAATGGGCAACATCGCGGGTGATTTACGGTGAGACCGAACGATCCCGCTGCTTCGTCCACTCATCATCATTCGCCTCATGAATATGCCGTGAATATTCCCTTGTTGAAAATACCCCAACATTGCAGACCGGGTGTACGGATATAGCCACATGCGTTCGGAGGCACGACTGTGACAATGCACGTGAGAATATTTATATGTTATTCGCGTTCCGACCCTACAGCCGTAATTATTGAGCCCTATTGACGCCGTATGCTAATTTTAGTTGTATACTCATTCAAGGAGCCGGTCACAAGAACACCCAGACGTAGGTGGCTAATATTATAACTTATTTGAAGGAGCGCACTTCGGATAGGTATAAAACGACAAAGCATGGCCCTCATTGCACTTGCAATAAATTTAATTGAGAAACAAAAGATAGATAGATAGATAGATAGATAGATAGATA